TACCCCAAGGAAAGAAAAGTAATCTGCTGATGTTCACGGTAGCATGACACACAGCAGCCAAGACCCACAACCAGTCCAGGGGTAGGTGACTAGATGAAGAAAATGTGGTGCATGCACACAAAGGAAGGCTATGAACACGCAGCCTGAGCCACTGGGATCCCCGTATGATGGTCCCTGCAGATGGCTTGTGCTCCAGTGGTACAAGTGGTGCAGTCACACGGGTACCACTGGTGACTCAGGCTGCCTGAAGCGAGACCCATACACCGCCAACCCCACCGTGAACATGGCAGACACAAAAGACTACCAAGTGGCAAACAAATGAACCTGGAGGGTATAAGGTTAGTGAAATAAGCCAGACACTGGAAGACCAATAGGCAAGATCTCACTCACTTTTGGAATCTAAAGAAGTCACACTCATGGGAGTTGAGAGTAAGATAGTGTTTACCAGAGGTTGGGAGGATGCTGGATAAAGGATCTTACATTTAAGTTAAGCAGGAGAGTAAGTTTGTGACACTTAATATACGACACAGCACTAATAACCACATACTATGTTTCAAAATTTTAAGAAGATAAAAGTAAGCATTTTTAGCACAAAAACCGTTAAGCATGTGAGATATTAACTGATTAATCACCTCAAGCACTGAAAGTAAACAACCCCACCAGCTTAAAGCAGGCTTGCCCCCTCCTGCCCCTTTCCTGCCTTTCCAACCACCATCCACTTGTGCTCACATCAGCAGGAATAAAAGCCCGAAGTAGCTTAGAAGACAGCTCACCTGTCAATGAACTGATCGATGATGACAATGTCGCCGGGCTGAATCTCTTCCCTCAAGGAGCCACAAGCTGTGGTCACGATGATGTGCGAGCAGCCCTCTTCCTTCAAAGCCCAGATGTTCGCCTGGTAGTTGACTTTCGAAGGCATGATGGTGTGCTGCCTCCCGTGCCTAAGGGAAGGAGAATTAAAGGGTAGATGAGTGGGCAGGGCATCCTAGTGCTGTAAGAAAACTAATTTACAGGGGTGTTTTTCAGCTTCTCCCACTAAGGCACTACTTTACGTTATGTTACATTATGTTACGTTACTTTATTTTGAGGCAGGGTCTCACTATGCAGTTCAGGCCAGCCTTGAGCTCACTTCATGGCCCAGGCTGGCCCTGAGCTCATTCCAGTCCTGCCTCGGCCTCGCTCAGACATGCGCCACCAGCTTCCACTAAGGCATTTGTGCTGGTATGGGAAGAATGAAATGTCAAAAACAAGTCTACAATGAGCATAAACCACTTCATCTTAAAAACAAGTCATTTTTATGTTTCATATACTTATTTTCCTATCAAGGGTGCATCAACTTACATAGAATTGACACTCTAGATGTTCTGTCTATCTTGTGGGGCATAAACAGATCCTGATGGGGTATCTGGCGTGACATGTGCCAATAGAGAGAAAGCAAGAGGGGCCGTGAAGTAAAATAGAAATAGAGACCTGAGTTCCCACTAAATCTCTCTATCCCTTTCTGCCTGGTCACTTTCAAAATATGAGAGTTCCTAGTCATTTAAGAATGACACGAACAGCTTTTGTCCACAAACTAATCACGCATGACCATGGCTGAGCTCTCAACCATGTCCTACCAAAATTCCTACAGTGAAGACCTAACCTCAATCTGCACTTCAAAATGAGACTGCGGCTGCAGAGGATCTTTACAGAGGTAA